CTGGCCTTCCAAATTCCATAAAAACCACCCTGAAAAAGAGCCACGTGAATAATGATAATAAGGCTCACGGAAGATATAGGGCAGAACTCAAAAATAAAACCAGATCAACGTTTGATTAGGATTAACATTTTCCAGTTGTTGCTTTTTTCCCCACTTGCAATTGACCACACAGAAGCAGAAAAGTCGAAGTCGTTTAAAAATATACATAACTGCTACTGCTAAGGATGAGCGGGAAAGAAATATAAAGGCTTTGCACTGCGGCGTGTTGATGATTAATTAATCATCCGCTTTATCGAACCAAATTGTGAATCAAGAGTTTTTCTTGTTCTAACTACTGAAAACTATACTTCATTTAGGGTGCGCATGCAGACCAGCGTTCCATCAACCGGCACCGAGGAGTCAGAAACAGTACCTGTGCATAAAACGGCTGTTACGACCCGCGCCTAATACTTCTAATTTGCACGAACGGTACCCAAGACCCGTAAGAGAGACAGAGAAAAGACCAGTCGGCCAGGGAGAGAGAACGTGTACTCAGACAAAGCACTTTACAGCAAGTTGTTCACACACAAAGGCTGAGTGCATTTAAGGGGGAAGGCGAGAGACATAGCCGAGACAATGGGCCAATCCGCTATGAGGAAAAATCGATAGTCGCGGCGCGCTATCTCATGACAGCGGCGTAAGTTGCACTCGCGGGCCTTTCTGTAGATGAGTCATCGTGGGAATGGGCGCATTCCCAACAGCCGCTTAGACAGTGGGAGGGAGAATTGCGAAGTGTCTGTTCTACTTTTCATACGCCAACCGAATTCCATGGGCTGAACAAAGATTATTGACAATGGAACGAAAACTCTCGAAGGCCATTCGCTGTAGCTCAGCTCAGCTGCGCAGTGTCAACTCCAGGCTCCTTCTCCAGTACTAACACCGGCTCGACCCGTCCACGTCCAACAATTTTGTCCCGATTGCGGCGTTTCTTCGCATGACTGTCAGCATCTTTTCGTCTGCAGTTCCCGGCCAAGCAGCACCCAACTCACCCCCGTGG